ATCTGGGCCCGAGATTCTGATGCCCTGGAGGACCAGACGACGCTTCCAGGGGGCCCAAAGGAGAGCCCGCCTCTGCGAGGCGCGCAAGATCCGACGGAGTTTCTCGGGCTCGAGGGCCCCTGCCGCGCCAGGGGGGCGCTGGGCAGCTCTTTGCGCCGGAGAGCGTTGCCGAGCCTCGAAGTCGCGGTGGAGCGCGGCAGACATGGCAGCGAACTCGGGCTGGTTGATGATCGCGATGAGGCCGTCGGAGATCGAGAGGTATTTGGCACCAAGCTCGGTGTTGGACTAAAGGCGACGAGCGAGAGCCACATCCTGGCGCCAGACCGCGCGTGAGATCGAACGTGCCGTGAGAACCCGGCCGTCGGCGTGCATGGATTTGTTGCCGCCCCCGGTGGAGCTGGCCCAGTCGTCGCGGACGAGCCTCGCAGCCTCGACCATGAGGCGCTTGTGCGTGCGCCAGCGGTTCTGGATGGGGACGTGCTGAGTCTTGGTGTGGGTGATCAGTTGGTCCAGGTACTTGGTGTAGTTCGGGTCGCGGAAGATAGCAGGGGGGGTCGCCTGGTCGTTCGACGGCGTGCGCGGCTTGATGCCGATGGCGTAGGAAATGATCGCGTGGTCGCTGAGGAAGGAGTCTGACAGGATGGCAGGGTCGTGTACAATGTTGATATGCGATGTGAGCTCGAGCATGGCATGGGACGACAAGCTGATGAAAACGCGGTCGGTCGCTGAGGCGGAGAAGTCGGACTTGTTGAAGCGGGTCGGTAGGTCGGGTTCGATTTCGAGCATGGAGTCGAAGAGTGCTTTCCAGAAAGGCTGCTGCTGGCGGGCGCTGTTGTCCAGCGCAAGGCGTGCGCGCTGTGGCTGGGGCTGCAGGGAGCTGTTCGGCGGGCGGCTGGCAATATTGAAGTCTCCCATGGCGATGAAGGCGCGGTGCTGGTAGTCGGCCTCGGCCCAGGTGCGATGCTGATGCCATGCGCGTTGCACTCGGTCGCGGCCGCGAGCGTCGATCTCGTGGTTATGGACGTTCATGATGACGATGGAGTTGTTCGTGACAGCATTGGCGACGGTGACGGTCTGGATGCGGCCCTTGACGATCTCCTCGTGGGCGAAGGTAGGCAGTTGGTATGGAGCAAGCTGCTCGAGCTGCATGGGCGTGAGCCAGGGCACCAACGTAGCAACTCCGCCAGTGCCAGGTCGGGCCTCGTCGTCATCGCCGCCGACGAACTCGGAGAAAAAGAGCTTGTACGGGCACGGCTGCGTGTCCACCCACGTGCGCAGCAGGGCCTCCGAGCCATGGACCTCCTGGAGGAGGATGACGCAGTGGCGGCGCATGTACTTGGTCAGGGCAGCTTGCTTGCGGCGGCGGCGCTGGCGCTTGTGGCACATGAGGGCTCTGGCATTCCACGTGATGAAGGTGCTGGGGACGGGGTCCTCGGTCGGTCGCCACGGCGACCAGGGGTGGCTAAACCCGCCACGTTGCTGAAGCAGTGTCCGCGAAGAGCGCCTGGAACGCGGCGAGGACGCCACCGCGATCCACTTCGTTGAAGTGGTGGCCTTCGAACGCGCGCTCGTTCCACTCGAGGATGGCGGGGTCGGCCTGGCCCTTGACGTCGAGGCGGACAACGGGCATGGCGTTGCAATGGATCTCGCCCTTGGAGCGGATGGCCCTCCAATGCTTGTCAGGGTAGCGGTGCTGTAGCAGTTGCAGGAGCTTCTTGCACTGGATCTCGGTGCGGATCTGCTTGGGAGACTTGTCGGGATCGAGGTAGATATCCACTCGAGCGCCTGTCGCGTCGGTGGGCTCAAAGCGTTTCCACCTGCCAGCAGGATCTCGAAGGGCGCGTGAAAGAGCGAGAGCTCGCGGGATCGCGGCTGCACGATCACCTTTGACTTGAAGAAGGAAGCGTCTGGACGACTCGCCGCCCAGCAGCTCCACGGCGTTGCGGTCCACGTTGGCAGAGGCGATCCACTCCTGCAGGTCGTTGAGCAGTATATCGGGCGCGATGAGGCGCTGGCAGCCAATGGGGAAGATGGTGGGGTCGGGGGCGCGGTCCCGGTCAGCGAGCTTGGTGAGGTCCGCGGTTGGCGCCTGAGCTTCAGCGAGCGCGAGCGTGTCACGCATCTGATCGATCTGCTGCCACATCTTCTTCTGCTCGTCGGCTTGGCGGTCTTGTTCACGGCGTGTGCGGGCGACTGCATCATGTCGGGCATCCACTCGGCGTTCGGTAGCAATGACTTGTTGTGCGAGAATTTGACGAAAGCTTTCACGTGATTCATTGAGTAGGGCGTTGGCCTGGGCTTGGAAGGTGGCGGCGGCGTGTTCGACTTGAGTCTGCATGACTTGTTGAAGAGCGGCTTCGACATCAGGAGACAGACCTGGGATGCTTGGGAACGATCCAGGCGTGGCTGTTCCTCCTGCGGCTTCGATGGAGGCTGGTATGTCACCTCCATGAAGGTCGGCGGCGGCTCCGACGGCGGACGCTCGTCCAGCGGTTTGATGGCCACGCCAAGGGTCACGAGCTCCTGCCAATGGATCTGCGCGCGGGTGTCCTCCTGCTGCTGGTGCTGCCTCGACTGCAAGAAGTTGGGAAGGCGGAGCATCCCCTTGTCCATCGCGTACTTGTACGGGGGCAGCCGCTGCGTGGCGAGCGACATCACCGTGGTGTAGAAGGTCGTCGGCATCCATCGCAAACGTTGGCGGAGTAGACGGGCGCGCTGACGAGCGACCAGGACGTGAAGGCGGCGCCGATGCTCTCCCTGAAGCTCGTACGAGTTGCGAGGCGACGCCAGCTTCTCCCATGGCGTCGAGTGTGGCCCTGGCGGCGGAGGCACGGGAACCTTTATCATCTCGATCTTTGTCTTGGCGTCCACGACGGCGTGTTTTCCTTCTGCGCGAAGGTGCGCTGCGAGACGTAGATCTCTCTTCACTGCTAGACGGCATGGTTGCAATAGGTTGGGCAAGTCCAGAAAGTGGCTGCTGTACTGCTGTCCAATGTCCCGGACGGCTGCGGTGCCAATACGTGGTTGGCTGAGAAGCTGCAGGCTGGCCTCGGAGCGGGCAACGTTCTCGACGGGAATGAAATGCTCGGAGCTAGGTTCGACGGCGGATACGTAGTGCTCGGAGCTGGGCTCGACGGGCGATATGTAGTGCTCGGAGCTGGGCTCGACGGGCGATATGGAAGGCTCGGACGAGCTGATATGGATGGCAGCCTGCAATGCCAAAGTGAGAAGCAGGAAGAGCTGTGGGCAGCCGCGAGCCCGTGGTTGTGGCGGCAAAAGCTGGAGGTCTGGCCGCGGACTAGCGGTATACATGAAGGACGCCGCAGGCATCATCATCTTGAGCCAAAATGGCTACGGAAGGAGGAGGATGAGGAGGAGGAGGAGAAGGAGGAGGAGGAGGAGGTAAAGGAGAAGGAGGAAAAGGAGGAGGAAAAGGAGGAGGAGGAGGAGGAGAAGGAGGAGGGGGAGCAGGAGGAGGACCAATGCAAATCCAGGACTCATCAACGATGTTGGAATACACCCTCCCTCCAAGCTCCCTCTTGATTCGCCCCTACAACGGTTCATCTCCACGGATGGAAGTGCCCCGTTGGAAGACAACCGTTTCGCGATCCTGAAGCGTGCCACAAGACCATTATCAAGACTTCAACGCCAGGAGTCAACCTGACTGTCGCGACTTCACGATCCTGCTTCGTGCCAGACGCCCATTCGTGGGACTTCAACGCAACGACTCAACAGAACTCTTTCGCCCTGACAATCTTGAACCGCTCCAAACACTATTTCTGCTACGCTAGCCATGGGAACCCGTGAACATCTTACAACAACTTGAAACGAATGTGCGCGGCGAAACGGCGAGAACCACATGTCGAAAAATAATCACCCTCAATCCGTGAAGACCTTGCAGTTGTTGAAAGGAATGTGCGCAGCGCTAATGCGAGAGTCGCATTATGGTTACCATGTCGAAGAAACCATTCCTTTCTACGGACATGGAAACGACCAACATGGCCGCTCAATGCACGAGAACTCGTCAGGGGGCTCCGCAATGCCTCTGATTACTTCGCCAGGGAATGCGTCGGTGGAGCTCCCTATGGGACCACGAAGCGTGAGACGGGTTGTGCCAAAGTGGGCACGAATACGCATGCGAACTCTGCCCCTGGGGCTTGCCGTGGAGCTTCACGTGGGGCCATGAAACTTATGAGGGTTCTGCCAACATGGACTCGGGTACACATGTGAACCCCGTCACTGGAGCTTCGGTGGAGCTCCCTATGGGGCCACGCAACGTGTGCGGGGTCTGCCGACATGGAGCTGGTACTCATGTGAACCCTGCCACTGGGGCCCTCAGTGGAGCACTGCTAGAGCCGTCGCTGGGGCCTTCGGTGAAGCACCCTAGGGGGGTACGAACCGTGTGAGGGGTGCGGCGAACGTGTGATGATAATGATGAGGGTGGTGGTTGATATCAAGATGATGATGCTGACGATGAGGAGGAGGAGGAGGAGAAGAGGAGAAGGAGAAGGAGAAGGAGAAAGAGCAGGAGGAGACGCGCGGCGCAGCGAATTCAAAACAAGGCCCCAACTCCACAAGAGGGTTGGGGAAAACGGCCTGCCATCAGTCTGCGAAACTCTTGCAAATTGTATACGAATGTTAGTGGCGCTGAAGCAAGAGCCACATTTCGAAAACGACCCGCCAGCAATCCGCGAAACCCTTGCATCGTTTCAGAACGAATATGCGCGGCGCTACAGCGAGAGCCACATTTTGAAAACCACCCGCCCTCCATCTGTGAAACTGTTGCTGATTCTTAAGATTCGAGCTTATAGATGGTAAGGAAGTCTGAGACGAATCGCCCGGCCCGCCTTCCGACTGGCCTCGGGGTGCAACAGGGAGGAGTTATTCACAAGGACAATGCATTGAGGAGGACGAGGCATTGAGGAGGAGGAGGAGAAGAGACGAGAGGAGGCGAGTGGAGGAGGGAGAAGGAGGAGAGACGAGGAGGGAGGAGGAGCAACTGGCGAGAAGGAGGACCTGGCGAGAGGATGGCGAAGACCGGCAGGAACCCTACAGCAGCTCCCGGGCAGCGCGGGCAGGGCAGAGCGAACGCCCGTCGTGGCTGCCTTCACGGCGCCATCGGGGCGCGAGAGGGCCCCCCCCTGGGCCGCCTGCCTCCAGGGGGGGGCGGGTCTAGAGGCCTCCCAGATGGGGTCCAAGTAGATCGGGTGGGAGGATCGCGCCGCATCGCCGATGCATCGCCGACGCATCGGCGCCGCATTGGCGACGTCGGCGTGGAGAAAATCAGGCTCCGCATCGAGCCGCATCGCCGATGCATCGGCGATGCGGCGCGACCCTCCGAACCCATCTGGTCCGACCCCATCTGGGAGGCCTAGATCCGGGGGGGTCAGCCCTCCACCAGCTTCACAAACGCCTCGTAGCTCATCCCCTCCGCGCCGCCCAGACCCGCCTTGGGGGCGGCTCGATAAATCAAGACGATGTTTACAACGTGGCAATAACCCCCAGAGGGTTCAGCTATTTCTGGTCTGGCCTCGTCGCTTTAGTGCCCTGGGTCAAAAAGCCTACAGCGAAGTGTGCGCACACTCCCCCGTTTCGACACTTTCTGCGAACTTGAACTTGGTCTTCGGGCTTCTCTCGCCCAATGGCTGTAGGGCTGTGAACCGCCACCGACCCCAACCAACCACGCCGCCCAGCCCCACCTCGGGGGCGGCCGGGCCAACCGCAGGCCCCACGCACCACGACGCCCCGACGCGCGGCAGCGGGCCCAGCCCTGGGCCTGGGACCGGCGCGCACGCCCGCGTAGGCGTGTAGCCGGGGAGGCACAGCAGAGAACTGCAACACCAGAGGCCTCCTACGGTCGGGCACTGTTGCTTGGGGTGACGCCCCGGCGGCACGCTGTGCCATGCAAGCGGATAACGTGTCGCTCCGCTCCGCGGGGCTGGAGGCTGGACAAAGCTCGGAACGTGGACGATCGGGGACCAGCAAGTGGATAGCGTGTCGCACCGGGGCGCGGTGTGCCAGAACCGGTGGAGCGAAACACGATCCAAAAGTTCCTGACCGTAGATGGGGTCCGAGTATGCTGCCCGAGTAGATGGGGTGCGCCGCATCGCCGATGCATCGGCGATGCACCAGCGATGCATCGGCGACGTCGGCGATGCATCGGCGGCGCCAGCGTGAAGAAACTCGGGCTCCGCATCGCCGATGCATCGCCGATGCATCGGCGATGCGGCGCAGTCCTCCGAACCCATCTACTCCGACCTCATCTGGGAGGCCTAGATTTCGGACGCCCGAGATGGGTACGGAAGGAATGGGTACACTGCCCAACAACAAATGCTGCCCAAAACCGACAGCGGCCGCTGTTGGGCAGGCGGCTTTTTGTCTTCGAAGAACAACGTCCGCGGCGGCGCGGACAGCGAGTCCTGTTCAAAATGAACAAGACATGTTGTTGGGCATCGCACCCATTCTTTCCGTACTCATTTCGATGGTCCCCATAGATCACGCACACACGCACAAGCCCGGCTGGATTCGCGTGCAGAGCGTGCGGAGGTCACGCGCCAGATGAGCGTGTTGGGTGGTCGGTGTGCCTGGGCACCACGAGGGCCGAGCGCTGGCCAGGCGGGCGGTCTCACGTGCGCTTTCAGCGCTCGCCCAAGCCGCTCACGGCATGCGTATGTCAATCGAGCTTCCCCCGTGCCGCGGGGCTCGCTGAGCGCTCGTGGAAAGAGTGGGTTCCTGCTCCCTGGCGTGCGCGCCGTGGGGCCCCCTCCCGACGGGGTCAATGCCAACCCGTCCGCGCGGCGCGACCGGGGTCAGACTCGCACCGTTGGCGCACCGCTGGGCTGGCGGGTGGGGTGGGACATGTTTGGCGCCGCAGCGCTGGCCCGCGACGGTGGTCGATTTGGGACTGTCGGCGGGGGTGGCGCCCTGACACCACGTGAGCCGTTCGACCCTGAGCCTTGAACGATGGCCCGCCAACCAAAGCTCTCCAGCCCCACATAGACATGATAGGCGTAAAATTTCGGAGCTCGCGCGATTTTCTTGGATCTGCGCTGAATTCCCCCTCCCTGACGCGCGAAACGCGCCAGTGGCGCCGTCAGAGGCGCCGCCATGGGGCTCCAGCGCCAATCCAAGAAATCCGTGCGGACCTCCGAGAAGCTATGTCTTTATTTTACGGCTTCCTGTGCTCCGCGACACCGCGTGAGCCGTTCGGCCTTGCACGATGGCTCGCCAAGCGGAGCTCCACGGCCCCGCTCTCCGCACGGATCCTGCGCCTTTGGCTGCCTCCTGCGGGCCCTCTCGAGAGCATTTCTTGATTCGCGGCGATGACGGGCGCTATGGGGGGGCCATAACGTAACACACACACACACACACCCGCCGTGTGGGTCTGGCACCGTAGACCGTGGTGCCGGACGCACTGCGGCAGTGCTGGGGACGCACTGGGGGGGGGGAGCGTTACGTGATGGGGAGTGGGAGGGGGGGGGGGGGGGAAGAAAGGGGGAGGGGGATAACGCGCGTTGTGGGCCAGGGGGTGAAGACACTCTCCTTGGGGCTCGTTTGTCGACGTCGTCGTCGTCACCGACATCGATCGACCTCGACATTGACGCGGCGGGCCCCTCAGGGGGCGGCTCCACGCTGGAACGCCCGCGCTGGCGTTGCAGGCCCGCGCCGAAGCGGCGCACACCTGCTGCCGAGGGCCGCGGGGACTCTGTCCTCCGTGTCGCCCCAACAGGGAGGAGAAAAAGGAGGAGGAGGACGAGGAGGAGGAGAAGAGGGAAGAGGAGGACAAGGAAGAGGTGGATGAAGATCATGAGGTCACAAATGATATATGATAAACACGGGGATGACGAGGAGGAAGGAGGAGGCGGACCAGTGTGAAACCAATCTGCCCGAGGCGCTTCAACGCTGGAGCGCCCGCGCTGGCTTCGACGCCGCGCCGAGGCGGCGCAGGCCTGCTGCCGAGGGCCACTCTGGCTGCAGGAACCTGTTTCTGCCCACGGGGACTTTGTCCTCCGTGTCGCCCCTTGCTGTCAGGAACTTCTGCTTAGCATGTCGCCCCGGGGCCCGGCGACACGCTATGCCTTGCAACCGGATAGCGTGTCGCTCCGCTCCGCGGGGCGGAAGGCTCGGGAAAGCTTGGGATGTGAACGCCTCGGGACCGTGAAGTGGATAGCGTGTCACACCGAGGATCGGCGGGCCAGAACCGGCGGAGCGGAACGCTATCCAAAAGTTCCTGGCCGTAGATCTGGATCGGGGAACAACCCATTCGCGGCCGAGGCTCGCCTTGGGGACATCTTGAGCGACATAACCCCATTGCGAAGCGCTTCCACGCGCGCGGGGCACCCGGCGAAAGGAGCGGCCGAGAGAGGGCCACTCTCTCTCTCTCTCTCTCTCGCTCTCTCTCTCTCGCTCTCGCTCTCTCTCTCTCTCTCGTTCTCTCTCTCTCTCTCTCTTTCTTTTTATTTTGTTTGTTCTTTCTGTCATTATTTCTTTTTTTCTCTTTCCCTCTCTCTCTCTCAAAGATCCATCCCCCCGGACCCCTCCAGGACGCCATCCCGGCAAATGGCTCGGGTTATCACGTCCAGCCGTGGCCGCGAAAAGGCGGCAAAGAGCTGATACAACAAAAACAAACACAGCAAAGAACGTCGTATGCCGGGGGCCAGTCCGGAAGCCAAGATCGGCCTGGCCCGCAGGATCGGCCGGCACGGAGGCCTTCAGAGGCACAGAAGGGTGCCACAAACAAGCCCAGGAGCCTCGAGCCCAAATCCTCCTCGATCCCTCGAGTCGCCCCGAGCCCCTCGCTCAAGATCCCCGCTTCGCCAGCTCCGAAGACACGAATTTGAAAATGCTGCCATCTCTCGGGTGCGCCGAAGATGGGGTCAGGAAGAGAGGAGTTACCGCTTCGTCGGCCGAGGCATGTGCGCGCACAAGGGGGGGGGCCCGTGGATGCACTGAATAATGAAAAGGGGGCCACAACATCTGGGAGATATCATGGCCCCGGCCACGATCTGCACGCCCCCCTACCCACTGCCCCCCCTTGGGCGCTCCAGAACCTCTTGGCTGGTGGCTCAAAGACGGGGTCCTGAGGGATGGAGACCTGCGGACAGGCAGGGATCCAAGGATGGATTTACGCTGCTTGAGGCACCTCGCCCTCAGAACCCCATCTCTGGACCACCGACTTGGGGGCCCTGCTTTTGCTTCTGCTGGCTTCTGCTGGCGGAGCCGCCCTCGTTCGGGGATCTTCTGATCCGGATCAAATTCAGACCCGGGTCAGTCGGGCTTTCCAGTATCCTGCAAGAGTCTGCACCCACGCCCAGGGCAATGCGACCCTGGCTCTGCAGGATCCTGCAATGGACACCCGTCCCTTGAGCTCTTCAGGCTCATGAGCACCCGTCCCTTGAGCCCTTGCCATCCTGCAATGTACACCCGTCCCTTGAGCAATGCGCACCCTGACTCTGCAGGCTCATCCGGCGCTCTGGCTGACCCCCGTTTGCACTGAACACTGTCCCTGGAGCCTCGATCATGTTTTTTTCACGGGCGGAGCCGCCCTCGTTCTGCCTCCTCCGCCGCCCCCCCGCCGAAGGAGGAGAGGAGCCAACCTCCCGACCTCCCGCGGGAGGCGGGGCCCCTGCTGGCCGCGGCCACGACCTGGCGCCGCCTCCCCGCTGCTCGCCCTACAGCCGAACATGTGATCAAGAAAAACAGGCCATTCAAGAAGCAGGGGCCAGCTTTCTGGACGTTTCTTCAAACCAACCTGAACCCAGGCCAACTGCAGCACTCACGCTGGAGGGACGGGCGCGCTTAAGAAACCAGTCCGGCTCTCGGGAAAATTGGTTGAGAAACGCTGGCCCAGCTGGCCCGGGATCTCGACTGAATTGCGCCGAAGAAGATGGGTCCAGCCTCCCGATCCCCCGCAGGGCGAGGCCCTCCCAGGCCCCCTCATGAACACACATCATGACGAGAGGTCTTTCTGCTATTTTCAGCCCCTGGGGGTCCGTACCAGGCCTCGGGACCGTGAAGCAATGACTCGGGATTGGGTCCAGACCTCTGGGGGTCGACGTTATGATAAAAATCATGACACAGGGTGCCTGGGCTTGTCGCCGTGGCGCCCCATCGAGGGGGGGACCGATCGGGGGGGGCGGCTCTGGGGGGAAACATCGAGCTGGAATCGGCGATACATCGCCGATAGACTGGCAATAGGCTACCGATAGTGAACCCGCAGATTCATGGGCGGAGTGGGTTATCGACCCCCCAATGGTGATCAATGGGCGATTTGAGGTTGATGCATCTTCCCCTGAGCCTATCCCCTTTCGGCGACCCGGACGAAGTTTGGCTTTTGGTCACAGCTCGGGTCCCTGACGGCCGTTCGGGACGATCTGGGCACCCCCGGACGCCTCTCGGCGAGGCGCAGCCGCTGAAACGCCTCCCCAGGAGCGAAAGCCGCCGAGGGCCCACGAAAGCGCCCGCGAAAACCCTGCACCTCAAAACCTCGAACCTAACGCTGCCCCTCACCCATCCGGCGCGCCTCGCTCAGCAGGTCCTCTGGCCACGCCCCGTCGAGCGTCTCCCCGAGCGTCGCGTGCAGGTCGCCTCTCACGGCGGCCCCCGCCCGGCTCGCCCGGAGTGGCCCCCCCTCGCCTCCGCTTCCTCCAGGTCGACGGCCAGAGAGAGGGTGTATGAAACCCATGCAACCAGAAACACTAAGAGACCCATACAGTCAACGATAGAAAGACACCAATCCAATCAGTAACAAGGAGAAAACATAGTACTGGGCCCGAGAGACCTGTGAGGTAAAAAAACATATAAAAAATCTTGCCATGATACCATCAAGAGCAACAATCAATGATTTTAGTGGGGAAGGGGGAAGGAGGAGGAACGGCCGCAGGGAAGGAGAAAGAGAAAGGATTCGATCCTGGCTGCGGGAGCAGAAGGAGGAGGGGGAGGAGTACATAGGCGGATGAGCAGGAGGAGGAGTCTACACATCGACGCGGCTGAATGCAAAAGCGCCCGAAGACATTCCACCCGCGGGGTCTTTCGGCGACCTCTCCAACGGCCGAAGCAACAATCAGAAGCTCACAATTCCTCCCTGCCTTCCGCCTCCTAAGACCCCCGCTATCTGATTCTTGCTACAGCGTGGACTCCTAGAGGTCTACCGGCTGCAACTTCTGCTTAGCGCGTCGCGGCGGCGGCCCCAGAGACACACATTGTGCCTTGGGAGCGGATAGCGTGTTGCTCCGCTCCGCGGGGCCGGAGGCGGGGAAGAGCTCTCGAATCGGGGACCGGGGCATGGTCTAGCGTGTCGGTCCGCAGCGTGGTGGGCCAGTGCCAGCGGGCCGACACGCTTAGCTGAGGTCGGGCGTGTCCCCCTACAGGGGGATTTTGGACGAAAAATCCAAAATGTTCAATGGGACGCGCAGAGGCATACTAATACTGTATATCCTCCTTGGAGGCGCGCGTCCGACCCAAACATATAGTATACCCATCTTGTAGCATGTCGTTTCCCGAGCGGTGTGGCCAGAATGCGCCCGCCACGACGCATATACTAGAAGATTTCTCGGTGCGCGCAACGCCCCCAGGGGGGGGGGGGCACGCACATATAGTATAAGCATGTTGGGGTGACGCCGATTTAAAGCATATGCAGAAATCGTCAAAACATAAAAAATCGTCCTCTGATCCCCTGACTATGTTTTGATCATTTTTGAATATTCCCCCTGTAGAGGGACACGCCCGACTTCACGCTAAGCGGAAGCTCCCGAACGTAGACGCCTTCCCCGGGACCAGTGTTTCCTCCCTGGCCGTTTGTTGTCGGCCACGGGGCCCAGCGACGGCGCCCAGAAGCCACAGCCCTTCGCCGCGACGTTCCGCCACGACGCGAGGAGGTCTGCGCCCGCCTCCTCGGACCAAACGTCGACACCAAGACCCGTCCTGGGGCGCATTCCGTCCAGAACCGCGAGGAGAATCCAGCCGTGGCGTCGAGGGCGCCACCCGAGGCCCAACGGGGTTGAGGAAGCTTCCGGAAACCTCGGCCCTCGAACATTCGAACATGCAACCCCCAAAGCTCGCCCTGTTTTGAGTGAGCGACTTGGTGGTCCGGGCAATGGTGGTTACTGCTGCCTTCTCGGGTGCTGCTAGAAGTACCCCTGGCCCAGCGTACCCCTAGGATTCTCAGGGTGGCCAAGACGGCCTCCAAGGCACCCCTTACGAGGCCCAGAGGGCCCCAGGGGCTCCAAAATGGAGCGAAAAGCTGGGGGCACCATGGGCCAGGGGCACTTCTAGCAACACCCGACCTTCCTGCGCAACTGCAAACTACCCAAGTAGGCCTAACCACCATCTCGGGACCTACATGGTGGCTGGTCGGTTTTGAAGGCGGCCCACGCAGGGCCCCCGCCCCGCGGATCAGAGGGTCCCGACCCCTCCCCTGCGGGTAGCTCTCTGGCCAGGATCCACTTTTGACGCCCCCCCGCGGCCCGACAGCGGGCCCTCACGGCCGAGATCGACAAGAACGCGGGGACTTCCAAAAGTCTCCGGTGGCAACTCATAGGAGCCTCCCGCGCCATCTTCTTGCTTGCTCTTTGCACTCGACGCTGACCGACGCTCTTCATTCGTGCTCTTACTTCGTGCTCATCATCCGTACTGCGCGCTCATCATCCATCGCTCCATTCATTTAATTGAATTCGTCATTTCGCAAAGCGCGTTTGGCGTGTCTCCCAATTGGCGCGTATTTGGCGCGTCCACTGCTTCGCCGTCTGGTAACTGTCTTGCCCCCTTGTTGTCAGAAAGTGCGACGCCAATCAGCGCTCATCGACGCCAAGTCGACGCTAACCGACGCTAAATCGGCGCTTTCTCATCGATTGCCAGACGCTAGTCGACGATAGCGCACCGTAAAAACAGAGCTCCGAGGACATACAAGGCTCCCATGCCCTGCTGCCCAACGCGGGGCTTCACAAGAGTCAACTCGGCGGAGGTCTGCGAAGCTCGCCCTGCCTCCTCCGGTCCCCCCCCGTCGCCGGCATCGACGGCGCCCGACCCGTCCGCGTCGAGCCGCCGGAACGCTCTGCGCAGCGCCCCCTCCCGCGGCCGCCAGCCGGGGGACCCCATCGTCGCCGCCAGAAAGTCGGAGTAGGAGACCTCTGCAAGGGGGCCCTCCTCTCCTGAGATCCTGGCGCCTCGATCGTTTCGATCATCAAGGAGCTTTCACCCGGCTTCGGGCCCTGGGGCCCTCACGGATCGATCCGGCTCGAAAGATGGCGCAGAGGAAGGGGTCTGGGGCTCTGGTTGCGATTCCTCACGATGACGCACTTGTTTCGCTACGTCGGAACTCAGGTCCCCTCTACTCCCCTCGACTCCCTGCCTCCTCCTCGTCGTCCCTTCCTCCCCTTCCCTCCCTCCTTCCTCATAGATGACTCCTCCCTGTCACACCACCAGGAGTGTCGTCGGCGCGGGCCGGGCGTTTCGCCAGGCACCTCCTCATAATGTGTTGCGATCCCCAAGCATGCGATTCCAGCAGGTGCCGTGAAGCTCCTCGCCCTGCCTGGCGCCGCGCACACCCGGTTTTTTACAGTTCCAGCAGCTGCACGGACGGAGCCCAGGTGGTTTTCAAAGTGGGGCTCTCGCCTCGGTGCCGAGCAAACTCCTTGCAATTACTGTCCGACAGTTACACGGATGGAGCCCCAAGAGGTTTTCCAAAACGGTTCTCTCGCCTTGGCCCACGCACGCTCGTCGCGAATGCATCGAGCAATTGATACACGGATGGAGGCGGCCCTTTCTCCAAAAAGGAGCTCCCGCCTGAGGGGTTCCTCAAAGATTTGGAACCGAAGTGCTAAACTGCGGAAAGCTACACGGGTAGAGGTGGGCTCCCGTGCAAGCAATGGCGTACTCCCCATGGGACCCCTGGAGAACTGAACTAATAGCATCTTCTGAAACATCCAACTCTTGCGCGGGTGGAGGGCAGCTCTGTTCCACACGGAGCTACCGGTGGATACGGCCTTGGACATGATGACCCTAGCATCCCGTGCAGCTATACAGACGGAAGGCCGTTTTTTATCCATCGAGATGATCACAAAATCCGGCGAAGGACATCACAAAACCTGCCACAACCGCATCAGCCATTGAGTTGCTGTGGGTGCCGTCGCAACCGAGTCGTTGGTGCCGTCGCAGCCAGACGGCTGCAATCCCACCACGACTTGCCAGAAGATCCCCGCCCGACTTGCGGGCCCACGGGGCGCCGGTCTGTCAAGGGTGCGCTCCCCGCAATTAAAAAAAGAGTGCTTGCAGGGAGGAGGAGGAGGAGGAGGAGCAGGAAAAGGAGGAGGAGGAGGAGGAGAAGGAGGAGGAGGAGGAGGAGGAGGAGGGGGAAGAGGAGGAGGAGGAGGAGGGGGAGGGGGAGGAGGAGAAGGAGGAGGAGGAGGAGGAGTAGATGAAGGTGGAGGAGGAGGACGTGTGAGGAGGACGTGTGATGCGAGAGGACTTGGGACTGATTGCAGTGCCGTTGGCGCATGCTGTGTTGACTCTGACCCCCCTCCCAAGCCCGACTCTCGGCATCATGATTCTTCAGGACCCATTCCCTGGGACCAGCTCTTCATCCTGCGCTGTTTTTGGACGGTCCCGAGACCCCCCAGAAGCCGAACATAGCGAAACAACTTCCCGTCGCGATGGTTTTCTGGCCTCGAGGGGGTCTGGACCCCTCCTACCTCCCTCGTCATCCCTCCCTCCCTCCCTCCTCCGCGCCCCAGGGAGAAAAGACGGCAGCAGGCGGCGCAGACCGCACACACACACACACTCACACGCACACACACACACACACATTCACACACACACAAACACACACACACACACACATTCACACAACACACACACACAAACGCACGCACACACAAAGCACACGCACACACGCACACACGCACACACACACACAGAAGCACACGCACGCACGCACGCACGCACGCACGCACGCACGCACGCACGCACACACGCTCACACACACACACACGCACACACAAATTCACACACACACACAAACACACACACACACACACACACATTCACACACGCACACACACACACAAACGCACGCACACACAAAACACACGCACACACACACAGAACACACGCACGCACGCACGCACGCACACGCACGCACGCACGCACTCACGCACACCACACGCACACACACACACACACGCACACACATCCACACACACACACGCGCACACACCCACACACGCACACACAGACACGCACGCACGCACGTACGCACGCACACGCACACACACACACACACACACACACACAAACACACACACGCGCGCGCGCGCGCGCTCGCACGCACGCACGCACGCACGCACGCACATATACACACATGCATGCACACACGCACGCAAGCACACACACACACACGCAAGCGCACGCACGCACGCACTCACGCGCACACAAACAGAAACACACAAACACACGCACACGCAAACACTCACACACGCACACACACGCCACACACAAACACACACACAAACAAACAGCCACACACACAAACACACACACACACACACGCACGCACACACACACACAAACACACATATTTTCACTCACACACACACACACACGCACGCACGCACACACACACACACACACACACTCACACGCACACACACACACAAACAAACAGCCACACACTCAGACACACACACACACACACACACACACGCACTCGCACGCACGCACACACACACACACACACATGCATACAAAAACACACGCACACACACATGCACACTTGTTTTGCGTCGCGGCCCCGCGCGCAGCGACAGGGCGTGGCAAGGGCAGATGAGAGGCAACGCGCGCGCGCGCGTCTCAAGGCCGAGCCCTCGAGCCGCTTGGGGCAAGCAGCGCCGGGGCCACCACAAGTCATCTGGGCGCACACACACAGCATGGTTCATAAGTAACTTGCGCGCTGGAACTGCAAAGGGTGTGTGTGCACGCGGGATGCACACGGCGAAGTGGAGGGAAATCCGGGGGGCACCCGTAGCCAGCGACACTCATGTTCCCATATAGCCGACATCCCACTCCTCGACCCGCCTCTATCGTTGCTACTGTGAGGGTGCCTTGGTGCAGGTTTGTCTTTATGACGGCGCGAGCATGTCAGCCCGCCGCCGTGCCAGTTGCGGGCGACCGCTCCGATGGCGACATCCGCACCCTACCCTCGCCAGTCATCGAATTTCGGATTTCGCCGCGTGTTCGACGAGTTCCGGACCCTACCCCCGCCGCCCATCGAGTTGCCTGAATCGTGGATCGGTAAGGGTAGGGTTCGGATTACGCTGCCGATAGTGCCTCCCCCTCTGCAAATTGCCCGCGTACCCGTCACTTGGCACCAGTCTAGGTGGCGCCCACATGGAAAGTATCATGATTCGTATCTAGCTTGCTTGCTGGATCCGTACATCCTGTTGCCTCCCCCGCATACTACGATTCATATCAAACTGATTTGCTTGATCCGTGCACGGTGTCTCCCCCTGTGCGAGTTGCCGATGTACCCGTCACTTTTGGTAGGCGGATCTTTCGAGCTCTCCGCCGCCTCTGGCGGTGTGCGTTGCGAGCAGGAACACAGCAAAGCCACTCGCTCCTGCTCGTTCAAACTTGTCACGTGTGCGGGGCTACACTGTCAATGCCGCGCTTTCCAGTGGCTTTTCTGCGCTCCTGCTCGCAACGCACACCGCCAGAGGCGGCGGAGAGCTTTTGAGAGATCCACCCAACCAAAGGTGCCCGTCTCGGTGGCACCGATCGGCCCAAACGGTCGGGGGGCCGCTGCCGCGCTCTGGGCGGCTGCGCCGGCACCAGGCCACTAGGCGAGCACCCCGCGGGGGCGCAGGGCGCGCCGGGCGCGGGACGGCGGCCCGCCGGCGCCCCGGAGGACCCCGACGCAGACTCATGGCCAGCGGAGTGTTTCGGTCGACGTCGGCAGCGACCGCAGGGGGCCGCATGCGAACCCTACCCCTGCCCCCCACGGTTTCTGAGGGGGAGGGTGGGGTTCACTTCGTTCGGGAGCTCCCGAACGAGATGAACCCCACCCTCCACCTCAGAAATCGTGGGGGGGTAGGGGTATGGTTCGCATGTGGTCCCCCAGACCGGTCGGCAGTCCAAATCGGTCGCAGCCGATTGCGATGCCTTCCCAAAAATCGGTCGCGGCCCGTCGCAAGCGATCGGTCGCGGCCAATACAAGAATGTGACTCAAAATCGGCAGCGACCGATCGCGTCGTTCGCGACCAGAGGATCGAGGAATCCTGTGATCACGGGAGGGGCTCCCTCAGGGGCGGCGCGCTCCGCGGGGGGGGGATGAGGAGGAGGCAGAGGAGGTCTCGTGGGCGGGTGGGGTTTCCTGCGTGCCGTCACTCGTGCTGCACCTCAGGACCGAGCACCGCTTTCGGCACCTCACGCATCCTTTCTCCCTGTCTGCCCCCTCTCCCCGCGGCGAGTGCTGCGCTTTCTGCGCTGCCTGCATGTTCTGTGCGCGACGCCGACAAACGCAAAGGCTACATTCAGCCAATGCCTGAGAATCGTACATAGCGGGAGGCCTCGCGAATGGGGCCAGAATAGGCGGGGTCGGAGGATCGCGTCGCATCGCCGATGCATCGCCGATGCACTGGTGACGTCGGGTCGGGGAAAATCGGACTCCAGACCGTGACGCGTCGCCGATGCATCGGAGATACGTCGCGATCCTCCGACCCCACCTACTCTGGTCCGATTTTGGAGGCCTACAGAGGAGGAGGAGGAGCAGGATGAGGAGGGCGATGTTGCGTTTGAGCAGGCTGGCAATGATGAAATTGATCCTCTTGATCATGCTACGCATATGTTGGAAGATGGGCATCCCCACCAATTGGGGGCATGACTCTCCCTCCCTGGTGGGCCATGTCTCGGGATGGGCTTTCCCGTGAATCGCTCCCATCCTCACGAAGGTCGGCGTGGATGGGGTTCAGGCTCTCTCTGACGGAGGTGCCGTGTTACTACCACCTCTCAGGTTCCTTTGCGTGCATTCATATGGTCTGGACACGCACAGTGGGAACGCTGACAGCGCTTGGACCAGTGGTAGTGGGGACTCTTGTGAAGGGAAAGGGTTCATGTGCGATAGATTCATGCTTGCTGCTGCTGGGGCTTTGTTTCGTCAAGCCTTTGATTTCTGTGTCTCTCAGGCGTCCGATCGTGTGCAAGTGAATTCTCAGACGGATGATACCACGCAAGCGTCACCTCCTTGGGTGCTCTGTGGTTCCCGTTGTTCCCAGGCCTGGGGCCCGAGAGGGGTGGCGGAGTGCAAAACGAGCCATCCTCATAACTTCTGAGTTGGGCACTCTCTCCTGCAAGCTGCACTGTTCCACACCTTGACCTCGCTTGCTCAGTAGCGTGGGCCTCACCTTGACCTCTTACTCCAAGCCCCTTATTAATCGTCCCCCGGGTCCCGTTTTTAAGGCGCCTTTTTTGTAACTGGGGGGGTCTGGTTCATTAGGGCGCATTCTTTGGATTGGAGCGTAGGGGGTCCTGTTGATGAAGGCGCCCCGTCGAAGATGGGAGTCTGGAGTATCAGATCGCATTTGGAGAGGGGTCCGGTTCTTTTACGGGGGGGGGGGATCGATTCGTAAACGATTTGGAGTATCCTGACGGTCCCGTTAGGCGGGCCCCCAGGGGTCTCGACCCCGTCCTCGGAGCGGGCTTTCCGTCCCGAGTCGTTCCGTGACGGCCCGGGGGGCCGTGCGACGGCCTCCAGACACCGAAAAATCGTCTCGACGCGTTGCGTCGCGTGGACAGAGGAGGAAGTAGGGACGTCCTTGGCCTTCCAAAGCGCTGAAGATAAAGCCCTCAAGGCATTTAGATCCATCTGGACTGCTCAACATTTCCATTTGGCGTTGAAGCCGAAGTCGCGGCTGGTATTATGGTTTATGCACCCCATGAAGGGACGCAGAAGAACATGCTCTTCTGTTGGAAGCGCACGTTCAAGCCGAACACTGCAATAATACGATACAGCATGCCGTTGCCCAAATAGTCTGGCAACAAAACGGCCGCCACGGTACTTCTAACACAAGATGGTTCGGTGCGCGCGACTGTGTAAAAAAAAGGAAAAACGAACACCATTACCAGATCTGCACAAGGATACGTCGGTGCCGAGCTTGGTCATCGTTGATCTTGGCCATCATCAATCAAATCATGGATCGTCCTCGCGAATCGGCTGCGGTCTGCAGGGACCATGACCCAAATCGGCATCGACAACATCCCGCAACATCCTGGTCACGCTCGTTATCGCCAAGGGATTTTATTTACAAAAAACAAGAACAAAACAAACGCAGTCTCATGGTCTGCGTGCTTCCTCCCTGGAGGTCAAAGCAGGAGGGCCCGAGCGGTTCGCGCCCCCCGGGAGGCCTGCCCAGTGCCCTTCCTGTCCAGCGCGCGGCACAGCTCCCGCATGCCAGCGGGCGGGGTGCGCGCGGAGGCCGGAGGGGCGCCCTGCCGTGCACCGCCGGAGTGCGCCCACGCATCCCATGGCAGTGCCACAAGTGGGGAGGAGAAGGAGGAGGAGGAGGAGGAGGAGGAGCAGCAGCAGGAGGAGGAGGGGGCGGTAGTAGTAGTAGTAGTAGTAGTAGTAGTAGTAGTAGTAGTAGTAGTAGTAGTAGTAGTAGTAGTAGTAGTAGTAGTAGTAGTAGTAGTAGTAGTAGTCGTCGTAGTAGTCGTAGTAGTCGTAGTAGTAGTAGTAGTAGTAGTAGTAGTAGTAGTAGTATAGTAGTAGTAGTAGTAGTAGTAGTAGTAGTAGTAGTAGTAGTAGTAGTAGTAGTAGTAGTAGTAGTAGTAGTAGTAGTAGTAGTAGTAGTAGTAGTAGTAGTAGTAGTAGTAGTCGTAGTAGTCGTAGTAGTAGTAGTAGTAGTAGTAGTAGTAGTAGTAGTAGTAGTAGTAGTAGTAGTAGTAGTAGTAGTAGTAGTAGTAGTAGTAGTAGTAGTAGTAGTAGTAGTAGTAGTAGTATAGTAGTAGTAGTAGTAGTAGTAGTAGTAGTAGTAGTAGTGGTAGTAATAGTAGTAGTAGTGGTAGTAGTAGCAGTAGTAGTAGAAGTAGTAGAAGTAAAGTAGTAGTAGTAGTAGTAGTAGTAGTAGTAGGAGGAGGAGGAGAGGAGGAGGAGGAGGAGGAGGAGGAGGAGGAGCAGCAGCAGGAGGAGGAGGAGGGGGGCGGTAGGTAGTAGTAGTAGTAGTAGTAGTAGTAGTAGTTAGTAGTCGTAGTAGTAGTAGTAGTAGTAGTAGTAGTAGTAGTAGTCGTAGTAGTAGTCGTAGTAGTAGTAGTGTAGTAGTAGTAGTAGTCGTAGTAGTAGTAGTAGTAGTAGTAGTAGTAGTAGTAGTAGTAGTAGTAGTAGTTAGTAGTAGTAGTAGTAGTAGTAGGAGGAGGAGGAGGAGGAGGAGGAGGAGGAGGAGGAGGAGGATTCGATTCGATTCGATTCGATTCGATTCGATTCGCGGGCCTCGGAGGACGAGGGTCGGGCGCCCGCCCAGCCCCCTCATCAGATGAGGGGCGCGACCTCGCCGAGGGGCCTCGCGACGTCGAACGCCTCGCCCTCGAGCTCCCCGTCGCCATGGCGACGAGCCTCTTGAACTCCATCCCCTTGGAGACCTCGAACGAATGCACATCTGGGCGTCTGGGGCCTCTCGCCTCCTGCGCAGCCGCTGGTGGGGGGCGGGGTGGCTCTTCCTGTTTTTTTCGCCAGGGAACGCCACTTGTGCCCCCCGCCCCCATGAGCCCGCTGCAGGAGGCCCCTCCTGAGCACGTGGGTGCCGCGCCGACGCCATTGTGCTCCTGGCCCTGCCGCTCGGGCCGCGAGCACCCTGGCTCCGCCCGAACTCAGGGCCCGCTCTGGCGTGTCTCCCCGAGCCCCCCCTGAGTTTCCGGCAGTGCGCCAGCTCCATCTTCGTCACAGCGCCTCTCGCCCTACCGCTCGGGCCGCGAGCTGCCCGGCTGCGCCCGAACTCGGAGCCCGCTCTGGCGTGCCCCCCCGAGCCCCCCCTGAGTGCTCGGCAGGGCGCCTGCTCCATCATCTCCGCGTCTTCGATTCCACCTTGGGGCCCCCAGGTACCCAGCATCCTTCACGTCGCTAGTTCTGCCTCTCCGCGAACCTCTCCTCACGTTGGAGGAAGGCCTGAGGCCGCAGGGCCTTCGCATCAAGCCAGCTGGAACTCCATCTGCGCCAGCGAGTCGCAGAGCTCCACCAGGACTCTGAGCGAGATCCTTCTCTGGCACTGCTCGAAATGCTTCTCCCGGTCGTTGGCTGGCTTCTCGCCCGTGCAGCGGCTGCGGCATTGCCTCTTGCGCCAGCGGCGCGTGCGTGTGCGTGTGTGCGGGGGGGGGGGGGGGCGGAGGCTGAATCTCCTGCGCCCCCCCGCGCCATCCAGCCCCCGCGGCCAGAGGCGCGTGTCCGTGTGCCGTGTGTGCGGGGGGGGGGGGGGGCGGAGGCTGAATCTCCTGCGCCCCCCCGCGCCATCCAGCCCCCGCGGCCAGAGGCGCGCCATGTCCAGGTAGGTGGTCGCGTTGACACCCCCAGCCAGCGGGAGCGGGATCCGCGGCCTCAGATGGCGCGCCCCTTGGGGAAGGGACATCATTGAGGGCGGCATCCGCCGGCCCACCGCCAGTCGGCTTCCGCCCTTGGCAGGGAAGTCCCCTGTCGAGGGGATAGTCGCCCAGGGAGTCCCGCTGTTCCCCGTTGCCATCGCGCTGGCTGCCCACGGGCTGCACCTCTGGTAGGCTCTCACGGCTGTGCCGCGGAGCGTGGTGGGCGCTCGTCTCCTCCAGCGCCCCTCGCCGGAGGGCGCCGCCACCTTCGTCAGACGGCGCCCGCCCTTGGCTGGGAGGTGCCCTGTCGAGGGAGTAGCCCCCCAGGGAGTTCCACTGGTCCCCGTTGTCATTGCGCTGGCTGCCCATGGGCTGCACCTCTGGTAGGCTCTCACGGCTGTGCCGCAGAGCGTGGTGGGCGCTCGTCTCCTCCAGTACCTCTCGCTGGAGGGCACCATCGCCTTCGCGAGCGTGCTTGCGTACTGATCCTGCAGGTGCCATGTGCAGTTCAGGTAGATCTCCTCGCCGCAGCGCATGTCCGAGCATGGTGTTGCCTTCTTCACGTGCAGCTCGCTCACGTACCCGCTGGTGCAAGGCCGCCATTCTGTGCTCGAATGCGCGGTGGTCCTCCTGCACCATTTCGGCGCCCTTGAGGATGTCGACCTTCGTGTAAGTGCAGCTGGTGACCGCGTCGGTTCTGACTCTCTCGAGCGGGGAGGTGGAGCCGAGGACAGGGAAGCCGCAGTTTGAGACGGCGGCGTTGCTGCGCCCAGGCCCCGCGCCTTACGCAAATGAAAACAGTCTTGGTACTCCCGGTGCTGTCTCCAAGAGGTGCCCTGTACTGGTTGGCCGCCGCCAGCTTGTGACCTAGCTGGTTGAGCTGGAACTCCTGAAGGAAGCTCGGGGTGCCCCCGCAACCCGTCAGAGTGGGGCTCCTGGCACATGTAGTTGTAGGCAAGCGCGGCACTGTGCCCCGAGCTCGCCATCATGCCATTGATGACAAGTAGCCTTGCGCGTGCTAGCCGCACGCCGATGTGCTGGGGTTCGCCTCGTCCATCTCAGCTGGTCGCCCTTATCAGAAGTCGGTATCGCGTTCGCCACAAGCCGTGCTACTGCGCCTACCCTGCTGACGACAGTCTCCATGGCGTCGATCATGCCATCATCAGGCCTTGGGTGCATGGGTGGCGCCGTCTTTGCCCTTACATCGGCAAGTATGTTGGCATCAGTGAGTCGGCGCTGCTCGTAGCCCATCGTTCGTAGTCAGTGCCCGACCTGTGCGCCTTCACATGGTGGCATTGCTGGATGTGCTGGAAACCCTCGAGCGACGGCGCGCATCGGGCTACGCATGCGTAGGGCGTCTTGCTGGCAAGCTGCTGCTCCTTTCCCTCGTTGCCCAGCTTGACGACTCCCATGAAGTCGGCGTGGGCTCGGCCGGGGAGGTCGGCGATCTGGGACACGAATGCCGCGCCGAGGTGCTCTCTCATGGCCGAGGGCTGCGGCAGGGATGCTGGAACAGGCGCGTGGATAGAGCAGAGCGGGGTGCTTGGTCGCGGGCCGAGGGCAGCAATACTTCATCCTGCACGTTGGAGTTTCCGTATACCTTGGCTGTCTGGGATGACACAACTCAGACCTGGATCCAGAGGTGGGGCCGAAGAAGACGGATCGGCGAATGCCCTCTTGTATGAACCAGGGTCATCACCATGCGTCCGAAATTGCTCCAGTCAGTGAGCAAGGAACTCAGCGTGTTCTCGGGCCTGCAGAACATCAAGTCGGGTACATTCGAGTAGGCGAAGAAGAAGGGTGTCCTGTGCTCCGCATCGGTAGAACCCCATCGGTGCGGCACCCCGCTTATTGATGTGCACGAAACTGCGTCCATACTCCGTTGCGCGCCACATTCCGGATGCAGAACTTCTGGCGGGTCGTGCACCGCTTGCTCTTGGAGGAGATGATAGGTTTGAGGGTGCCAAAGGTCACCCGCATGCCTTCGCCGAGGCCCACCTTGCTGGCCAAGGCCTTCTCGTGCTGACACTGAACGCCTTCCTGCAACACTAGGTAAAGCAGCCCTGGCGTAAGTAGGTCCACATGAGCATCGTCGCCACGGTGTTTACGCCACAGGATGCCTGAAACTGGGGTCCAGCCCGCTCTTGCAATGGACAGGGCTGCTCTCTGCAGGGGGCCTCGCGTTTGTCCCCAAGTGCTACATCAACCTGCTACATCAACCTGGCTCGTCGACTGCTCGCCGCCACCACGTAGTAAGAAAGGCCAGGGGGACTGGCGCACGCTGTGGCTGTGATATCGCTAACCAGATCATCCGCGACAACTGTAGTGCAGGTGCCATGGCAGTAGCTACTGTGGGATCTCCCAGGAGCGCAATCTTCATGGTAGCTGAAACGCCGCCATGGCAAGGCTTGCAAAACCGCCCAAAGTCGGTGCGTAGCCTGTGCAGCCCCGTATCTGAAAGACCATTGACCCCCACGCCGTAGATAGCTGCTGGCCGTGCTCCTGCACGGTAGATCTTGCCCGTCCGCGCAGTCTCTTGCCCTGGTAGGCGTCGTCGATAGCGCCTTAGCTTGCGCAATCGATGTCGGTAAATCCGCAATATGTCCCAATACCTGGCACTGGTGTCTTGGCTGCCCGTCGTCTGGCCCCCGAAAAGTCGGTGCCTAAGTAGGTGGCCCTCCGTTGGTGCAAGTCTGCTGGAAGACCCAGTCGCTGCGCGACAGTCTTGCCTATGTCCGCAGAGCTGGCGACCACCGCGGGCTCCTCATTGGGGCGAGCACCTAGCTGTCGCGCTGTACTGTAGAAATCCTGATCCGCCTGAACCGCCTGCTCTATTACTCCCTCGTTAGTGGCGCCGTTGAGGCCGAGAGAGGTGTCATCGATGTAGGACGAGAAACGGACCAGGGGATAGAGCGTCACGT